TCAATATGGGGAATTGCTCTTTCTAAGTCTATGAAGAATTGAGTTGGAATTTTGGTAGGAATTGCTTTGAATCTGTAGATTACTTTTGTTTAGATGGCCTTTTTTACTATATTAATCCTGCCAATCCATGAGCATAAGAGATCTTTCCATCTTCTGAGATATTTGATTTCTTTCTCCAGAGACTTGAAGTTCTTGCATACAGATCTTTCACTTGCTTGGTTAGAGTCACACCAAGGTATTTTATATTATTTGTGTCTATTGTGAAGGGTGTCATTTCCCTAATTTCTTTCTCATCCCTTTTATCCTTTGAGTAGAGGAAGGCTACTGATTTTTTAGAGTTAATTTTATATCCAGCCACTTTGCTGAAGTTGTTTATCAGCTGTAGAACTCTCTGATAGAATTTTGGGGTCACTTATGTATATTATAATATCATCTGCAAATAGTGATAACTTGACTTCCTCCTTCCCAATTTGTATCCCTTTGATCTCTTTTTGTTGTCTAATTGCTCTGGCTAGGACTTCGAGTAGAAAATTCTCAACCAAGGAATCTTGAATGGCTGAGAAACACTTAAAGAATGTTCAACATCCTTAGTCATCAGGGAAATACAAATCAAAACGACCCTGAGTGAGATTCCACTTCACATCAGTCAGAATGGCCAAGATCAAAAACCATAGGTGACAGCAGATGTTGTCAAGGATGTGGAGAAAGAGAACACTCCTCCATTGTTAGTGGGATTGCAAGCTGGTACAACCACTCTGGAAATCAGTCTGGTGGTTCCTCAGAAAACTGGACATAGCACTACCTGTGGACCCAGCTATACCACTCCTGGGTATATATCCAAAAGATGTTCCAACATATACCAAGGACACATGCTCCTCTATGTTCATAGCAGCCCTATTTATAATAGCCAGAAGCTGGAAGCAAGCCAGATGTCCCTCAACGGAAGAATGGATACAGAAAATGTGGTACATTTACACAATGGAGTATTACTCAGCTATTAAAACAATGAGTTCATGAAATTCGCAGGCAAATGGATGGAACTAGAAAATATCATCCTGAGTGAGGTAACCCAGACACAAAAGAGCACACATGGTATGTACTCACTGATAAGTGGATACTAACCCAAAATCTCACAATGCATATGATACAACCTATAGACCGTGTGGAGTGTAGAAGGAAGGAAGATCAGGGGGTTGATGCTTCAGTCCTGCACTTAGTGGGGAACAGGACAATTGTGGGGGATAAAAGAAGACCGGGACAAGGGAGAGGGAAAGGAGAAGGAGGAAATAAGGGTGGCAGTATCAGAATCTTGAGGACAATTGAGAGGTACAGAACATTAGGAAAACAAATAAAAATGAGAAACTGAGGATAGCCACTGGAGAGTCCCAGATACCAGAGAAATGTGAGGCTCCCAGGAGCCAATGGGATTGACTTTAGCTGTAATGTGTGGAGAAGGGGGAGATAGAACCTGTGGAGACCACCTCCAGTAGATAGGCATGGCCCCTGTTCGAGGGATGGAGCCACCCACCCATCTCAAAGTTCTCTTAACCCAGTAATGTTTCTGTACAAAGGAAGAACAAGGACAAAAAATGGAACAGAGACTGAAGGAAGGACCAACTGGAGAATGGCCCTACCTGAGGATACATCATGTCTGCAGAAACCAAACCCAACACTGTTGTCATGGTCAAAAGGCACTTTCTGACAGGAACCAAGTGTGGCAGTTCCTGGGGAGGCAGATGCTTGGAGCCAACCATTAGGTTGAACTCAGGGAACCTGATTGGGGAGAAGGCAGATGAACTGGAGGAGCGGAGGGGGATTGCAACCCCATCGGAAGAACAACATAGGCTGGCCTGACCACCCAGTTCTCCCAGAGACTAGACCACCAACCAAGGACTGTACCTGGAGTGAGCCATGGCTCCAGATAGATATGTAGCAGAGGATGGCCTTGCCTGACAGCTCCTCTGGCTTAGTAGGCAAGTGCCTTTCAACACTGAGACATCTCTGTCTCTGTGTGTGTATACATGTTCATGTGTATGCAGGTACACATGTATCCATGTACACGGCAGAGAACAATGTTAGGTGCCATATACAAAAATACCATCCAATTCCTTTGAGGCAGCTCTCTCACCATCCTTGATTTACCATCAGGCTGGGCTGTCTTGTCAGTGAGCCTTCGGGATCTTCCTCCTCAGTGCCGGGATAACAAGCACGTTATATGGGTTGTAAGGATCTATAACAAGGGTGCTGGTAGCCATCTAGGAGGCCATCAAGCTCACTCCCTGATATTGACAAAGAACTGAACACCAGGGGGAGACAGAAGATCAAGCCTTGTAGAAAGGGAAAGTAACAGATTTATCCCTAGGGATAAAAGCCTAAAGCTTAGAACTCCTGAATGGACTCTGGTTTAAGTGTTTTCTAGGGCCCCTGGGATCTCCTCCTCCCACTATAGGTGGTCCTTTTCTTCCATTTCTCCCAATATCTTCTGAGAACAAGAAACGGCAATTTACAGGAACCTGTTTTTTCTTTCCTTGCCCACCTATCTCTCCAACTCTTTCTTTCATATGTGATGTGAGTCCTCATGCTTGCAGAGGCAAGCACTGTGGTAACTGAACCATCTCTCCAGTTCTATCTCTACCTCTTACACTGCTCTGACTTCCAGTACAGGAAGCTTTACGAGACACATGTGAACCCTATCCAAACTTCAGTCTCTTGACCTTTTCTTGGCACCTTCTCTGACTTTCTGTTAGATCATTTGTCAGATACTGCACTAGCTACTGTTGGTGAGCTCACTTTGAGGACAGATTTTTACCCAACTCATCATTTTAACCTCATGACCTTACAGAGAGCGTATAATGGTTTCCTAAATAAAAATATCATGCATAGGCCAACCTGTGAGATGTCACTTTATGTTTTTGTTACTCTTTTATCTCTCTATGCCTGGTGATTTCTCTTCTTTCTCCCTCCCTCCCTCCATCTACCTCTGTGTGTGTATATACTGAATCTCAAGCCCTTCTTTACTATCTAGATGCAGTATGCCCATGAACTATGCAGTATGCCCTGAACTTCTTCGAAGGAGTTCTGATAAGCCTGAGTATGTCTGTTATACAGTTTTTTTCCTCTAAGATTTACTATGTGTATGGGTATTTTGTCTACAAGTATGCCTGCACACTAGAACCCCATGGGGCTACAGTTATAGACTGTGTGAGATACCATGTGGATGCTAGGAATTGAATCTATGACCACTGCAAGAGCAGCTAATGCTCTTAACTGCTGGGAGGGCTCTCCAGTCCCTCCTGTGACTTCTCACATGCCGTTCAGGAAAGCACCTTGAAATGGTTAGAAAACCTCTACCAATACTATATAACCATTTACTTTAACCAATGCATTCCTTCTACAAATATAGATACACAGCAGTTTTGTAAAGCTCATTTTATTTACAAATCAAAAGACTACCTATTCTTGGGCCAGTGAGATCTTGCAGCAGATAAAGGCCCACGATGTTCAATACTGACGACCTGAGTTCAATCCCCAGAACCCATGTAAAAGTGGGAACAGAACAAATTCCACAAAACCATCCTCTAATCTCTCCTGTGCACCGCTGTATACATGACCCCCACATAATAAAAATACATATTCTTGTCTTGTAGTAAATACTTCTACCAATTTTTTAGAAGGTTTACTTTTTGTGTATATGAAGACTGTGTATATAGTGTGTGTGTGTCCTTCAAAAGAGACCAGAAAGTGCTTTGGATCCCTTGTAGCTGAAGTCACAGGTGTTTCTGAGCTATCTAGTGTAGATGCTGGGACATGAAAGCATCAAGTGTTAACCCCAGAGCCATCTCTCCAGCCCCTTCAATCCATTTGTTATTAAGTTACAGAGTTTACTAGTGTTCACTACTGAGCCAAGCACTGGAGAGGAGTTTTATTCCCCTTATTGTACAGATTTTTGTTTAAGTTGAAAATAGCATCACTTTTTCATATAGCTTTCTACTGATCATTCAAATATCCCAACATATATGCTAAAGAGTTCTCAATATTAAAGTTCACCTGCTCAGAATTTTTTTTTTTTTCAGCAGGATGGTATGTAACCTAAGTTGGCATGGATTCAGGGAATCTGCTAAATAACCACGCCTATCTGTGAACTTTTTTTTTTTTTGAGACAAGGTCTCACAATGTAGCCCTGGCTATCCTGAAACTATCACTTTGTAGAACAGGCTAGCCTCGAACTCAAAAGATCAGCCTGCCTCTGTCTGGCATGTTGGGATCAAAGGCATGCTCCACTACAAACCGATCTTCAACTATTTATCCTCGCGCCCAGTGATTTACTTCATCACTACCATATCGGGGTTAGTCTTTCTTTTCTCTCTCTCTCTGTCTCTTTCTTTCTTTTTTTTTTTTTTTTGTTTTTTTGTTTTTCGAGACAGGGTTTCTCTGTGTAGCCCTGGCTGTCCTGGAACTCACTCTGTAGACCAGGCTGGCCTCGAACTCAGAAATCCGCCTGCCTCTGCCTGCCGAGTGCTGGGATTAAAGGTGTGCGCCACCACTGCCCGGCCTTTTTAAAAAAAAAAACAAAAACAAAAAACCAAAAAAACAAAAAAAAACCATAATCAAATCAATGAGATTTCAGTATGTTTCTGTAGTCACCTACCCAGCTTTTCATCATAGGATCAGGCACTTAGTTCACTCCTGCACCTCACTTTCTTCTGAAATGGCTTACTTGACGCTCCCAGGTCCCACGGCAAGGGTGTGTTGCAGAAAATAAACACTTTATCCCCAAGCCGGCAAAACAGAACCCCACATCCAACGACCGGAAGCCGCTGGGATGGCGCCTGGACCGCGCCCCTCGCAGGCAGTCTCGTGGGTTCCCCGTCGTGTAATCCCTGCCTGACCTCCCCACCTCCGCCCTCTCAGTTTCCTAGGCCCCGCCCACCCACTTGGTCCCGCCTCTGAGCCGGATTGGTTCTTTTCCTTGGAGGAGCCCGCCCTCGCGGTTTCCGTCTCCGGCAGTGTCTGTGGCGGTACATCCTAAAGCAATGGCGGCGGGTGGAAGCGATCCTCGGGCTGGCGACGTAGAAGAAGACGCTTCCCAGCTCATCTTTCCCAAAGGTAGCTTCTGGGACAGTTCGACTCTGAGGTGACATAGTCCTAGAGTTATAGTCGTTGTCCGCTCCCTGGCCCTGGCACGGCATGGGGTAGCGAAGGGCTACGCACAGGGGATTTGATTGATCAGCATGGCACAAATGAACACTTTCATGGTTTAGTTAATTCCACTAAACCCAGCAGTTTTGTTTTTTTGAGGGTGTCTTTATTAGGTATCCTAGGCTACCCTCCACCTTATCACATTCCTGCCCCATTTTGAGTGCTAGAATTAAAGGCATGCGCCATCACTCTTGATTTTTAGGGGGATTTAAGTTATGTCCTTTTCCTGTCATGCAAAAGACAGATCTGGAGCAGAGGTCTCATTTCAAAATTGGCAGCTAACAGAAGTTAAATTATGGTCCTCTCACAGTGCTAGTCAAAGCATTCCAAGATCTGTGGGTCAGAAGTGGTCCCTGCCGTGGCCTCTTTGGAGATGCTGTTGCCGTTGGTTTCTGGACACTCGTAGCTTTTCGAGTTAGGAAGAACGATGGGAGCAAGATGGGTTCCAGTTTGGGATGTCTGGTACCTCTTGCTGGATGTGTGCCAGCCTCTGGGCATAGTGACCTCTCTGTGCCCTGCTACTTGGAGCCATCGGTAGGAGACTAGTTTGAGCCCAAGAGTTCAAGGCTAGTTGAGGCATTACAGTAAGACACCCAGATTCATGCTGTGCTGTTGTGAGTTATGTTTTGAGACAGGGTCTCAGGTAGCCCAGACTGGCCCGGAATTAGGTAGAAAGGCAAGCATAACCTTGGACTTCCCATTCTCCTGCCTCTACTTCCACAGAGCTAGGTTTGCAGAGGTGAGCCACCCTGGTTTAGAGACTATTTAAGGGTTGTAGCAGTATGTTGAGAACCACTGATTTAGAGGGAAGAAAGGTGGGAAGAGATGATGTAAGCATAATCTCAGAAATAAAAGAGATAAGCCAGGTGCTGATGGCCTTTAATTCCTGGACTAGGAAGGCAGAGGCAGGCTGATCTCCATGAGTTTGAGGCCAGCCTGGAATTTAAAAATCACAATAAACCAGGCAGTGATGGCGCACCCCTTTAATCCCAGCACCTGGGGTGGTTCTATTGAGTTCAAAGCCAGCATGGTCTACAGGAGTTCCAGGACAGCCAGAACTACACGGAGAAACCCTGCCTCAAAAAACAAAAACAAAAACAAAAAAATAATTGTGTGCATGAGCTTGTGTGTATAAGGCCCAAGGTATCACATACCCTAGAGTTGTGTTGGGGCAGTTGTGAGCTACTTGTAGTGGATGTTGGGAACTGAATTTGGGTTTTTGCCCTCTCAACTACAGTCACTGTCGTCTTCCCTTCATTCTTTGAGACAGTCTCTTGTAGCACTGGCTAGCCTTTCTCTGCTTCCAAGTTCTGGGATTACAGGCATATGCCCAGTTTGTGGATGGAATTTATTGCTTTGTGCATACTGGGTAAGCATTCTACCTACTTAGCTACATTTCCAGGCCAGATAGTGACATTTGCTCATTTGTGTTGTTTGTGTGTGTGGTATGTGTGGGCATATGTTCTTGTGCAGGTGCTTATAGAGGCCTAGAGTTGCTGTTGAGTAACTTCCTTGGTTATTTTCCACTTACTGAGGCAAAACCTCTTACTGAACCCAGGGCTCGTCAGTTTACCTAGTCTAACTAATCACCTTGCCTCAGGAAATCAATCTCCTATCTCTTCCTATCAACTGCTGGATTATAGGAACCTATTTGTGTTTTCTGAGGATCCTAACTCTGCTTCTCACACTGAAGTGGCAAGTACTTTATCCACTTAATCATCTGCCCTGCCCAGAAAATGATGTTTTCTTTTGTCTTTTGTGCATTTTTTAATTGAGATGAAGACTCTGTTTTCTTTCTTTTTTTTTTTTAAAGATTTATTTATTTATTATATATGAATACACTGTAGCTGTCTTCAGACACACCAGAAGAGGGCATCAGATCTCATTACAGATGGTTGTGAGCCACCATGTGGTTGCTGGGATTTGAACTCAGGACCTCTGGAAGAGCAGTCAGTGCTCTTAACCACTAAGCCATCTCTCCAGCCCAAGACTCTGTTTTCAAATTTTTATATATAAGGATTATTTTGCCTCCATGTATGTCTGCATGCATATGTGGTGCCTATAGAAGCCAGAAATATATGTGGGATCCCCTGGAACTAGCTGGACTTAAAGATGATTGTGAGCTGCTTTGTTGGTGCTGGGAACAGAACCCTTAGCCTCTGAAAGAGTAACCAGTGCTGCTAAGTGCTCAGCTGTCTCTCTAGTCCCTATGTTACTATTTTAAAATTTATTTTAATTGTCTGTGCAGATGCCTGAAGAGGCCGGAAGTGCTGTGAGGTATCTGATGTGGGTGCTGGGGATTCCTTTGTAAGAGCAGTACATGCTCATTTCTCCAGCCTTCTGGTTTTGTTTTTTTGGTGTTTTTGAATCTCTCTGTATTTCTGGCCATCCTGCAGCAGCTCACTAATAATTGACCAGGCTGGCCTCAAACACAGAGATCATCCTGCCTCTGCCTCCCAAATGCTGAGACTTTTTTTTTTTTTTTCGAGACAGGGTTTCTCTGTGTAGCCCTGGCTATCCTGGAACTCACTCTGTAGACCAGGCTGGCCTCGAACTCGGAAATCCACCTGCCTCTGCCTTCCAAGTGCATGCTGAGACTTTTTAAAAGAGTATTTTCAATTCACACTTACTCTTCTTCCAGAGTTTGAAACAGCCGAGACACTGCTAAACTCCGAAGTTCACATGCTTCTGGAGCATCGAAAGCAGCAGAACGAGAGTGCAGAGGACGAGCAGGAACTTTCTGAGGTCTTCATGAAAACCCTGAACTATACAGCCCGCTTCAGCCGATTCAAAAACAGAGAAACCATCGCCAGTGTTCGTAGGTGAGTACTAAACATAAGTTCAAAATCAAAATCTACTTATGTATATGTTATGGGTGTTTTAGCTGCTTGTATGTCTGTGCACCATGTGTATAATACCACAGAGGCCAGAAGAGGTTGTTAGATCCCCAGGACTGGAATTACAGACAGTTGTGAGTCACCGTGTAGGTGCTCGGTCTCAGAACCCAGGTCCTATGAAAGAGCAGCTAGTGCTCTTAGCTGCTGAGCCATATCTCCAGCCCTACAAAACAGGGTTTTTGTTTTTTGGTTTTTTTGAGACAGGGTTCCTCTGTCCTGGCTGTCCTGAAACTCACTCTGTAGACCAGGCTGGCCTCGCACTCAGAAATCCATCTGCCTCTGCCTCCCAAGTGCTGGGATTAAAGGTGTGTGCCACCACTGCCTGGCAAAACAGTTTTACTATTATAGACTGTCATGAAAGGTAGAGGCTGTAGGATCAGGGAGTTCAAGATCATCTTTAACTGCATAGTAGGTTCAAAACCAGCCTTGACTACATGAGACCCTGTTTTAAAAATGCTAACAAAAATTATGACCAGTGAGATGGCTCAGTGGGTAAAACATACTTTAGCCAGGAGGTGGTGGTGCATAAATTTAATCCAGCACTTAGGATGCAGAGGCAAGCATATCTCTTGAGTTTGATGCCAGCCTAGTCTATAGAATAAGCCCAGGACAGCCAGAGCTACACAGAGAAACTCTGTCTAGAAAACAACAAAGAAATGCAAACAAAAAGTCCTTTCTGTGTAAGCCTTATGACCTGAGCTTATATAGAAACCCAGATGCACCCAGAAGCTCTGAGAATGAATTCCCAAAAGTTGCCTTCTAAGTGTCTATGCTTACACACATACACATTCAAACACACAAGTGACTGAATAAATAGATACTGAAAAAAACCCTAACTGGGTATGGTGTTGCATGCCTTTAATCCCAGAATTTGGGAGGCAGAGACAGGAGAATCTCTGAGTCCAGCCTGATCTACACGATATGTTCCAGGACCACATAGATAGAACCTGTTGTTTTTTTTTTTTTTTTGTTTTTTTTTTTTTTTTTTTTTTGTTTTTCGAGACAGGGTTTCTCTGTGGAGCCCTGGCTGTCCTGGAACTCACTCTGTAGACCAGGCTGGCCTCGAACTCAGAAATCCACCTGCCTCTGCCTCCCAAGTGCTGGGATTAAAGGCGTGCGCCACCACCGCCCGGCGCTGTTGTTTTTTTTAAAAAAACTAATCGGGGGGCTTGAAGCCCCTCAAAATTTTGCCTACCACAAAAAAGGCTCTCAGCTTTGACTCAAAGTCAAAATTTTCTCCTCTGCATCACAAGTGCTAGGGTTACTAGTATAAACTATCATGCACTCACTGCCTTCCAGGTAGAATTTCTTGTGTTTATTTTTATTTTACGTACACATACACAGTCACAAACTCACACAGATGATTTCTTTGTATAGCTCGGCTGTATATATGTTTCTGAGGCAGAGTCTCACTAGCTAACCGCTGCTGATCTACAACTCAGTATTAGACCAGGTTGTTTCTATCTCACAGAGATCCACCTCCTTTGAGATTAAAAGTGTCCAACTAACACTTTTTTTTTTTTTAAGAAAAATTATATTATTATTTATTTTATTTTATTTTATTTTTTTTAGTTTTTCGAGACAAGGTTTCTCTGCGTAGCCCTGGCTGTCCTGGAACTCACTCAGTAGACCAGGCTGGCCTTGAACTCAGAAATCCGCCTGCCTCTGCCTCCCAAGTGCTAGGATTAAAGGTGTGCACCACCACTGCCCGGCGGAAAAATTATATTATTGTCATCATCATTATTATTATTACTGAGATAGATTTGTATCTCTGTTTAGTGAAAAGCTTGCTGTGTAGACCAGGCTGCTGTCTGTGAGCGTGTGCCTTTAGGCACAGCAAATCATTTTTTTTATGTTATTTTGTTTATATTTATATGCATGCTTATCTATATGTGCACCATGTGTATTCAGTGCCAGTACTAGCAGAGGCCAGAGAGGAGTTGGAGATACGCGGAGCCACCCAGTGTAGGTGCTAGGACCCTAACTCTAGTCCTATGAAGATTAGCAGATGCTTTTACTGCTGTGCCTAATTCTTACTACATTCATTTTGAAAACCAAACTTATTCTAGTAAGCTTTATCTTATAGTGTAGCTTATGGAAATCCTGAAGATACAGCTTATACACAGATTTGCAAAAAGCAGAGTTTGGTGTATTTATTTTCACAGTTAAAGGTGAGGTGTTTCCATATCAATATACTTAGTGGACTAGCCGATCAGATAGATCTCTTGTATATTGTTTGACATTAGCTTATCAAAGGCAGCATGTAGAGCAAAGAGCTAGACAGTCACTTCTTGGAGGCAGACTTTTCAATATTTATTGAATTACTAAATTTTTATTTTATGTGTATGAGTGTTTTGCCTCTATACCACACAAATGCCTAGTACGCTTGTGGATCTGGAATTTCAGGCAGTTGTGAGTCACTGTGTGGTTACTGTGAATTGAACCTGGGCTGTGTGAAAAGGGCAGCTCCTAACTACGGCATCATCTTTCCAACCCAGCATCTGTATGCCTCTTTACCCTGCTATGCTCTTTTCAGGGTCTTAGCTCTGCCTGTTGTTTTTTCATTTGTTTTCTTTTGTCTGGAACTTCTTGATTTTTTTTTTTTTTTTTTTTTAGGGGGGGTAGGAACAGGAAGTTATTTCAAAGAGGGTTTCTGATGCCCACATAACCATAATCAAAGATTATAAATACTTTTCCTCAACTACATTTGATCTTCCTTTTGCTGCTGCTGAATGTTTAGCATTTGTCCAGCACTGAATGAGAATGTAATTTTTGTTTTTTATTAGCGTATGTATAACTACACGTCATAACGGGTTCCATTGTGACATTTTTATTCAGGGATATAATATATTTTGGTTGTACTCATTTCCCCCATTACTGCTCTTGTTTCAGTCCATTTATCTTTCTGTGTTTTATTTTCCCCTGCATTCAGCTTGCTTCTCCAGAAGAAGCTACATAAGTTTGAGTTGGCCTGTTTAGCCAATCTTTGCCCGGAGACTGCTGAAGAGTCCAAAGCCCTGATTCCAAGGTTAGTACCAGATGGGATAGGTTTTGTCTATTTTATATAGATTTCTATAAGTCAGATTGCTAGATCTAAAGGTTGAATGCACTTAACATTTGGGCTTATGACATGCCAGCATTGAATAAGAATATAATTGAATGGTGTTTGAGATAGGATTTGGAGGCTGGTTTTGTGGTTTGTTCGTGGCAGTCTAAGGTGACCAAGGCTTCCTTGAGCTCTCGATTGTCCTGCTTTCACCTGTCAAGGGCTGGGATTACAGGTGTGAATGATCATGCTAGTTTAAGAATAGCTTGAGTTTTTTCCATTAATTGTTTGTGTATGCGTGTGTACACATGCATGCCTGTGAATGTCACATTAAGCACGTGAGGGTCTGTGGACAGTTTCTCTCCATTTAGGTAGGTTCCCGGATCAAACTCTGGTTGTTAGATTTGATGGCAAACAACTTTTATCAGCTGAACCATCTTGCAAGCCTGAGAATAATTGTCTTATACCACAGAGCAGGAAAAATATGGAACAGAAGAGGGTGGTAGGAATATGTAGCTCAGTGGTAGACATTTTGCCTGTTGTGTATGAGGCTCTGAGTTTTATCTCCCAGTACCTCACAGAGGAGCATAAGAAACCAGCAGAATTCTCCTACACTGCAGGCAGTAGCAGAGTATATAACTATATCTAGTGAATCAGTGTGACTACTCCCATTACCCAAAACATATTCCAGTATTCAGTGCTGTGGTATTAGTATAACAGATATTGGACACAATCATTAAGTCACTCAACAAGTAAATGACTACAGACTGAATTTACAGGGCCTGGTAGTATGTGTTTTTAATCCCAGCAGAGGCAGGCAGATCCCTGTGAGTTCTAGGGTAGCCAAGGTTGCATAATGAGACCTTGTCTTAAAAAAATAAAAAAGAGGGCTGGAGAGATGGCTCAGTGGTTAAGAGCACTGACTGCTCTTCCAGAGGTCCTGAGTTCAAATCCCAGCAACCACATGGTGGCTCACAACCATCTGTAATGAGATCTGATGCCCTTTTCTGGTGTGTCTGAAGACAGCTATAGTATACTCATAAATAAAATAAATAAATCTTTTTTTTAAAAAAAAAGCTAAAACAACAAAACAAAAATTTAAATCATGTGTGACTGTTGAAGCTTTTAAAAATTTTTCATATGTTTACAACTTTTTAGTGCTTCTATAAAGGAATGTCAGCAGAAATTCAGTTTAAGCTTAAAGGTAGTAGAGTTGAGTGCGCCGCTGCTCAGAGATGAGCCTCCTTTGAAAAGCAGTGTGGGGAAACTGCCAGTTGCAGAGTCACTGACGTTTCTTGGTCTTCTTACAGCCTGGAAGGGCGTTTTGAAGATGAGGAACTGCAGCAGATTCTCGATGATATCCAGACAAAGCGCAGCTTCCAGTACTAATCGCCAGACATGGCTCTGTTCCTCGAGACAGCTCCAGACAGCACCACAATCAGAACCCTGCTGGGCCTCGTGCAGGAATGTGGCTTCGGAAGACACTGGGACTTCTTTCATAGTTTTTGCTTTACTGAGATAGAATGTCTGGGTAGTTCTCAGAGTCCTCCTGCCTCGGTCGCCCAAGTGCTAGGATTACAGGTGTGAGCCAACGCTTACTGCTTGGCTCTTGGAGAAGAAACAAAGGCTGGCTGTTGGTGCTTTCTTCAGAGTGACTAGTAGACCGTGATTACTATCCATTCTCCTTGCAGTGTTATAAGGCTGCTACGATCAAGTGTGCTGCAGTCCTGAGCTCGTGAGGTAGACTGATGTTAAACATTTGCTGACTACCTCTCACTGTGGTTTTTTTGGATCCCATGTTATTTTTTGTTCTTGACATTTCAATTTTTAATGTCAATGTATTTTGTAGTTTTTGAAGCTAATATTATATATAAAAATCTTGTATAGGGGAGGAATGTTTTTACTTTGTTGCAAAGGGGAGAGATAAAGAACCAGAACACTTCATTATTTGATTTATTTTTATTGTTTTAAAGAATCCTATTTGTTTATGGGGAGGGGTACATGCTCCACGGCACATGTGTGGGGGTCAGGGAATAACTTGCAGGAGTCAGTTTCTGTCCACTGTGTGGATTTTCAGGACCAAAACAGTCAGGCTTGGTGGCAAGTGCTGTTACCAACTGGGCCGTCTTGCTAGTCCCTAAATTATTTTTATTTTATTTATTCATTTTTGCAATTTAAGAGATTAGACTCAAAGTCTTGTACATGCTAGAAAAGTGCTGTACCATTGAGCAGCATTCTAGCCCTGAAGTTGCTTTTGTTTGTGTCTGTGTGTTGTACATGTGTATGTGCAGGTCTGTAAGGAGACCGGCAGAGGACATTGGGGACATACCCATACTTCTTTCCTTTGAGATGGGGTCTGTCTCACTGAACCTAGATCTAGGCTGGATGACCAAAAGCCCCAACAATTCTGTCTTCACTTTCTCTTTGTGCTTGTACCTTGGGGTTCAAGGCATGCACAGCTGGAACACAGCAGGCTTTTCACTACCTGTAGTGCTAATGTACACACTCGGGTCTTCGTGCTTGCTCTTATTCACTGAGCCAGTTCACCCGGCCACCCTGCAATGTTTAAAGAATGAGACACGGTTGACTGAAAGAACTTTGCCGCCACTCTGCCTACCCTGGAGACAGGAGGGAAGCACACCATGGGGAGCACTTAACCTCTAGGGTCCTTAGCCTTGTGGTAGATATACTTCACCTTGGGGGCAAGGGGCTGTCTTGGAGAATGTATTTGAAGTGGCCTTGAAGAGTTCATATTGCCATCTTCAAATTAAGATCCTTTCTTCATAGGCCAGATTGGAAGACCTAACACTAAAGACTCCTCATGAGATAGACACCTAATCCAAACCTCTGGTCCAATACTGAGTGACAGGCAGTCTGTTATGTTACATATACAGGCAGAGGTGATATGGAAGAGTGAGTGACTGTGCTCCTGTCTCAGTGCTAGAAGTCAGGACCATTGTGTTCTCACATCTTAATCTCAGCCTCTGGTGGGAAGCAGAGGCAGGCGGATCTCAGAGTTTGCAGTCAGTCTGGAGTTTTGCATAGAATAGAAAGTTCCAGGGCAGCCAAACATACATACATACATACACACACACATACATACATATATACATACACACATACATACATACAAGGTTGAACTTCTGACCCTCCCACCCCTCATCCTCCACCTCTTTTCTGGAGGGAAAGTAAGGGGAAAAAGTAAAAGCTTGAAAGGAGAGAGCTCATGAGCCCTGTGAGGGATTAACGTTAAGGGATGTTAGCAGGCTAGATCTCAGGAAGTCCTGTAATGGATCACAGGCTACTGTGATTCGAGATGGTGATGCTCATAGCCAGCTTGGAGGAAACAGCTACATGACAGGAGAAAATGAAATAGACAAGCCAGGTGCTTTTGGTTAGTGATGGGGAGGATGAGTTGAATGCTCTCTGGAGGCTGGAGGAGTGGATGAGGAAGCCTGTGGAATCAGAAGACCCTGCTTACCAAAAATGAAGAAAGTGATGAGCCCTAGGCAGGAATGGCTACAGGAGAAGAGAGTCTGGGTTAGCATGGAACTATGTAGAGAGGGGCTGGCAGATGCCCTGAGAAGGAGCGGCCATGGAGCAGAGCTGCAGAGTGCTTGTCTGCTTCGACAATGATGCAAACATGCAGAAGTTCAGCTTCTGAAGTGTTGAGAAGAAATGGGGTCCAGTGGCTACTGGGAAGGCCAGCAGGAGCAGGGGAGAATGAAGAGGTGGAGAGGGTGCTTGTGTGTAGACAATTAATAAATTGAGCCCTTGTAGAACAAGTATCATAAGGTCCATTTACATATCCTAGACACCTACTGGACTATCCAGCCAAAGAATAGTTTGTATTTAGCTGGAATTAAAGGTGTGTGCCACAACCTGCCTGTGTTTTTTTTGGTTTGGTTTGGTTTGGTTTGGTTTGGTTTGGTTTGGTTTGGTTTTGAGACAAGGTCTGGAATTAATAGCAATCTGCATACTTCCTGAGGGTTGGGATTAGAAAAGAACATAACTGGCCAATCATTTCATAATCTTTATGGTGCTGGTACAATAACACAATCAATACTAGAAAGAGGTGTGATAGAAGAGAGTATGAAATAGCCTTTTCCCTCTTTAAAAAATATGGTCTCTGCTGGCCCTCTTCTTTCTGATCCTCCTCCAACTTTAGACTGCTGAGATTATGCCACCATTCCTAGTTTTAATTCAGTTCTGGAGATGGAACCCAGTGACTCTTACATGCTAAGTAAATGTTCTGCCAGCTGAGCTACAACCCCAGCCATGAACTAGCCGTTTATAAAGTTGTAATCTCAGTACTTGGGATGCAGATGCAAAACAACAGCTCAGCCATCCTCAGCTACATGGCAAATTAAAGGCTTAAAATAAAGCCCTGGGTGGGCTACAGAGATCCTGTCTCAGAAAAAGTGACCCCTGTGGTCAGATAGCCTATAAAACTATAGCACTATGTATCTGATCCTGTCTGAGATGTCTAATAAAGGTGGCACTTGGAAAGCAGAGGCAGGTGAGTTTCTGTGAGTTCCAGATGAGCCAGGGCTACAAAGTGAGACCCTGCCTTAAGAAGTACCCTCCTCTAAAAATAGTGCAAAGGGGAGGTTAGTGATGAGGATCTGAAGTGTGAGCTGTAAGGATCCTGTGTAAGGCTTGGGTCCCGTGTAGCAGTACAACCTGCCTAGGGTGGCACTGCCCAGAGTGGGCTGGGCCCTTCCCCATCAATCATTAATCATGAAGGACCCCCACATATTTGCAAGCCAATCTGATGGAGGCGTTTTTTTCCATTTGTGGTTCCTTCTTCCTAGATGACTTAATTTGTGTGAAGTTGACATAAAACCTAAATAGTACAAATTACCCCTTGTCGATTAGACATAAACTAATAACCTGAGTTGGAGAGATGGCTCAACAATTAACACCAGCTGTTGCTTCCAAGAGATCTGGTTTTTGGTAACCAGCACCCACTTCGTGGCTAACAACCATTTTAAACTCCAGTTTCAGGGGTCACACACCCCTCCTGGTCTCTGTGGGCACTGATGCAAGTGGCACATAGACTTATGCAGGTAAAATACCCACACGTAAAACAAGAATCCTTAAAAGTCTTTAAAGTTCCAGATTTTGGGATCCAGTGGCAAACTCACAGATCTCTGTGAGTTTGAGGACAGGTTGTTCTACATAGTTCGAGGACAGCCAGGAATACATAGACCCTGTCTCAAAAACAAAACCAGAACAAAACCAATAAATAAATACCTTAAAAATTTAATAGCAACTCCTTTATCCCAAGCATCATGTTAATATCACAATATAAATATAGTTCAGTGCTGGGCATGGTGATGCATGCCTATAATCCCAGCTCTTGGGAGGCAGAGACAGGCAGATCTCTGTGAGTTCAAGGCCAGCCTGGACAAGAAAGCTCCAGGGCAGTTAGGGCTCCAGTGGGACCTTGTCTGAAACAACTCATCCCCTCCCAAAACAAAAAATAACAATACAATAAAAATAAGCCAAACCAAAAAAAGTCCCTCAGTTGGGACTGTAGAGAGAAGACTTGGGAATAGCACTTTTTGTTCTTACAGAGGATAGTGGGGTTAGAGAGATGGTACAGAGGCTAAGAGCACTTGCTGTTCTTGTAAGTGCTGGGCCTGTATTAAATTCTCAGCACTTACATGGCAGCTTTCGGACACCAGGCATGCCAATGGTGTACATAAATTTATGCAGGTAAAACAGTCATACACATAAAAACTTATTTCAAGAGGTAGGGACAGCACAGTTACAATCAAATCAAAGCAGAATGAACATCCAGCGGTATAAATCAAATCCTGTAGCTCAGTGTCCCTTCCTGGGAGTCACTCCCAGTCTGGATTGCAAAGGCCCTGTGAAACTCCAACCCTACCTAAAAGTTACACCTCTACTAACTGCGTCTCCGACTTTTCAAAGACTGACCTTGCCATATGCACTAAGCCTCAATTTTCCTCCCTGAGCTCTTCAATACTCCTGGCTCCACTGTATCTGAGGCTGTACCCTCACCAGTGGACTCCTGCTTTCTGCAAGAACTCCAGCCTTGCTGAATGATACTAAATCTCAGCTGTTCTTCGTTAGAACTTCAAGCCTTTAAAACCAGTACCACGTGGGAGATGCTTACATATTACCAAATTCAGCTCCTAGATTCAGGGATGGTCTTGGCTCCTCTGAGTGCTATGACATGCATATGTGTGTGTATATACATATATACAAATGTGATTTTAAAACTTAAAGATAGGTGGTGGCACACGCCTTTAATCCCAGCACTTGGGAGGCAGAGGCAGGCGGATTTCTGAGTTCGAGGCCAGCCTGGTCTACAGAGTGAGTGCTAGGACAGCCAGGGCTACACAGAGAAACCCTGTCTCGAAAAACCAAAAAAAGAAAAAAAAAAAAAAAGATACTTCTTTCCGCCACCAAGAAGAACTCAAAGTCTCCGTGCGCCGACGTCCAAGCCCCACCCCTCACCTGCGCGCATGCTCTATTTGAGCCCTACGGTAGACCTGCGGCAGAGGCGCGCGGGGCGTAGCGCCGTGAGGCCGTGATGACGCACAGGCGTACGCTCGGTGGCTCCTCGGGGAAGATGGCGGCTGCATCTTTGAAGGAGAGGAATTGAGAGTGGGGCGAAGCGAAGAGGACCAGACGGGAGAGACATTCCCTGCGGCGCCAAAGGACGCCGCGTTCGCGGTTAGGAGCTCCTCCCGCCCCCCCTCGGTAAGTTCGTCGTAGGACCAGTGAGGGCCGCGGGCGGTCGCGCTCCGCCATTTTCGGGCCCGGCCGTTGCGTGCTTCGGGGGTCCGGAGGGGACAGGTCGCGGGAGAGAAGAGGACGGACATCCGCCGGGCCGGCCGCGGCTGGTGGGGGTCCCAGCGGAGGAAGTATGCGGAGGAGGCCGTGAGGCAACCTAGGCCCAGCTGGGACGG